ATTTTCGTAGGCCCGAAAAAATAAACTATATACAAGTCTACATATAAATTATATAGATCATTTTGACGTGAGCATTTGCTTTATAAGTTTATGTCAAGTATTTACATTGCTGCTGTGGTGTGTTGCTTCATACGACCTAGCAGTGGACTAAGCAAGGTAATTAGATATTAATTCATGCGTGCAATGTTGCATGCGTCTGGCGGAGCCTGTGCTATTGCCCATGGTAGCCAGCTCCACCACTGGCTCCATGATATGTTTAAGGGAATTGGCAACTGACGATGGACGAGATCTCCAATCCGACACTCCAAAAATTTTCACCAAGATGTATAGCAACTCACGGTGTGGACTGAAACCAAGAGGAGAGGGAGGGAGTCGGACTCTGTCACAGTGGTGGTGGGTGCGGGGTGGAAGGATACGGCAGGTGTTTGGATTTGGTGCGCATGCAAGAGATAAAAAAAAAAGGAAATATGATCTTCAGCCAATCCAATCAACTATTTCCTTCCCGAACCAAACCAAACTAATCTAATCTCTACCTTCCATCTTCCGCACACCTTCCATCTTCCTCACGCGCATCAGCACGGCCGTGCAAGAGCATATACAGAACCACGGAACAGAGGGCAACCACACGACATAAATCCTAGATTCCTATTTGCAACTCAACAACTCCAAAACCAACCGACGGAAACTTCTGAAAACTACAAAAATAGAACCGTGGCAGCAAGCCGATTTCATTTTCGTAGGTCCCGATGACAACAGAGACACGGGGGCGACAACGACTGTGGTATAAAATGTGACCAGAACTCGAAACTCTAAACGAACTAGATGCTAAGACCAGCAACTACGACTCGACGATGCAACAGAAAACTCAACAAATAAAAAACTCAACAAATAACAAATAAACTACGACTCGACAATGCAATGGCACAAGTATGGTTAGGTACATGATATATTTTTTTTGTATGGCAATTTTCTGATTATAGGTAGATAAAAACTCACCGAGCAACGAAAGCTCTGATACCACCTGATGAACCCTGAGCTCCACTTGAGACAATCAAGATTGTTGTTGGCCCGATCTTTTGGTGAGTTGATGATAACTACGATTTGGGAGAAACGTTGACGACCCGACTACAACCGTACTAGATGTTGTTGTATTGCGCCTTAGCGATCGATACACCTCTCCATGGGTTGTTGATCTTGCCGGTGCAGATCAACCTTATTCCTGCAAGCAAATCAAAGAAACAAGCAAGAACAAGATAAAAGCAATCTGAATTGCAGATAGGAATTGAATACAAATGATAAGTTGGGGTTCCGTAACGAGTTAACCGGCGATCTAACCGATCACGGGATTACACGGCAAAGTAGCAAAGCTAAACTTTAATCTAAACAAAACTCAAGAAACCCTGAAGGGGTACCTACCTATTTATAGGGGCGGGAGGACGACCAAGGGGTGCAAAGGGTCGTTCTCCACCTGGTTGGGGCGCACCCCAGGTGGGAGATCAGTGATGGCACGTGCTACTAGAGTTGTTAGGTTGAAGACAAGTGAGATTAAAAGTGCAGATAGTCAGGACATACATAAGAACCATTGGATTACGAGGAAGAGGACAATAGCAAGTAGATTGGCACTAGCCTAGCAAAGGAGACTAGCAGTGAAGAAAGAGGTCAAGTAACATAGGGAGGATAGCAATAATAGCTAGCAACATACCCTATCAACTTAGCGGAAGATGTGTAGTGCGAGGGTATACTTATTATTTTTTAAGAATCCGTCATAGATCGATGACATTTTCCCTATTCGTCATAGGGAATTGGTCATACAAGACTAGATTGTTATAGTTATGACTGGTAGCTAGTTCTAGGGAAAGAGAGATGTGAAGGACGAGGGTGGGTTACACTACAAACATAAGCATGTCCAATATGTTGGATATTCATCGAACTTGATGTTAGAAATCTTATATGCAAGACAAAATACATGTATAGAGAACCTCTTTGAAGAGTATGGGCACGTTTCCACGAGGTTCTAAAAGACTTCATATTCCAAAAGGAACTAGTAACAAATTATGTGAAGAATATGCCATGGATGAGAGCTTTGAATGTTGTCGGTATACAAGTAGTCAGGCAAAAATGTGATGTCTATTTGTACTGCCTCCGATTTTTAATATATGTAGATTGTTCTTGACTTTTAGTCATACGTTCCAATCATGCTTAAAGTATTTTTAATAGCAAAACAAATCACAACAAAAATAAGTAATAACTACGTAATTTTTTAATAAGACGAACAGTCAAAACCCACGTTTAAAAGTTAACCATACACTTAAACATTAAAAACCGGTTGGAGGATCATAATTTGTTATGGTGCATATAGATAGGAATTTTGCATACTGAATGACACAATTGTTCTAGTTGATGCAGAGGCTACTACACTGCAGAGAGTGTAGTTGTACTACTCGAGTTGCCATGCACGGATAAATCTCATCTTTTCACACAATCCAATGTACGGCCCTTTGATCATCTTTGAGAGTGTCTCTCCAAGATCAAATCTAAAGGCAGGGAGAATCTGATGAAGCCTGGTCGAAATCGAATGCTATCCCAATTGATCTTTCCATTGCTACATGAACCTTTCCTTTGCTTTTATTTCTTTTTGTGCTGCATGCTATCAAAGTCCCACGCACGCACATGCATATGCTTTTGTTGACTCTGACCAATGGATTCGTCAAACCTCATCATCCATGCATGCGCCTAGCTTGCTAGCTCTGGGTCCTTTTAAATTTTTTTCTGAGCCAAAACAACTTTGAAAAGTAAATACAATAAAATGAGCTTTTGAATGAAGGAAAAGTAGAAGGTTAATGGAGAGAATTATTAAATTTTTCTGGTCATGAATATTTCACCTTTTCGCAAAGCTCCTACTTAAACTTTGACTTGAGGACTTTTAAAATGCTAGAAAAAATACCCGTGCGTTGCAACGGGTGAAGGCAATTTTAATCTTATTATTTTTATATGGTTTAGTTAAGGTGAAACTCGCTGTGGGAATTCGTTTGGATATATATATTTTTTTAGAAAATCATGAGCTGCAGTTAGGAATTCGTTCATCTCAAGTTAGCATGCGAGATTTTTTAAATAGATTTCTTATATAGACTCATGTATTTCCAAAAGCGAACTAACTTAAAAACCCACTCAAATACGGATATATATTTCCAAAAGCGAACGAACTTAAATTGACTCATACACGGATGATGTACTAAAATACCGGCAAAAAATATCTTTAATTTTTATAATAGTAGAGATTTAGATCTAAATAAAAATATAAAAAAATGGTATGTAGTTTGTAGATTTGTCTTGAAGACTATTTTATAATCCTGTAATCTATTTTTTTCTAATATCTGTGGACTTGTAGTTAAAGATGCACCTGGAAGACGAGAGAGTGAGAGAAAAAAAGACAAGCAACAACTGTTTTTAACCAAGATAATTTGATCTTTTCAGTTTGTATTTATATACACCGAACAAGTACTACTCTTCGGTTACCTTATTAATTTGACGCCATGAAAATTAAGTTCAGTTAGATCTCCTAATATCAAATAAAAAGATCATAAGGAGTATTAATAATTATGTAATGCTACGGTGTCTATCCGCAGTGAGAACTGTTCTATATATCCTTAATATAAATCGTATCAGATGGGCGCCCGTTCTTTTTAGATGAAATATATATATGCAGATAAAAGCGGATCCGATGGATGACCTATTATTTATATATAATATAGAGTGTGTTTAGTTCACGTCAGAATTGGAAGTTTGGTTTAAATTGAAACGATGTGACGGAAAAGTTGAAAGTTTATGTGTGTAGGAAAGTTTTGATGTGATGGAAAAGTTAGAAGTTTAAAGAAAAATTTTAAAACTAAACTCGGCCATAATTAAGGATGAATTAAATATTATCATATACGTACATAAACCTGACATCACCTAAGCATAGCTTTTAGAGAAATCATACGTATACCTCTGAATGTGTGCCATGAATAATCCAAAAATAATCGATCCCTCCCCAAATAAAATCCAAAAACGGGCGAATTGAAACTTCATCGATCAACATGTACTGCATCAGTTTATTTATCATCCATTGGCTTGTTACGCATTCTGAGAGAGATCGAGAGTGATGGGGCTCTCTGTTTGTTGGCACAGACAGCATCTTTTTCCCCTGTGCAAGCGTAAGTCGAAATGATATGCATCCATGCATTGCCCTGTGCATGCATGCTGTGAGCATAAAATTACTACTGGTCTACTGCTACCTGGCTCTGTCCCTAAAAAATCAAATCTTTGCAAATGAATTTATATATATATATATATATATATATATATATATATGTGTGGATGCGCTAAACCGCACCCAGGGTGCGTTATAATTAAACTACTCCCCTCACAAACCCCACCCACCCTCCCCCCTACCCCCACCCCACCCCCCCTCCACCCACCAACCCGCACCTTTACCACCCCTCCCATTCGCACATTTTCTCCGTCCCGCACCTTTCCCTCCCCTCCAGTTCGCACATTTTCTCTTCCCACGTCCTTCTCTCAGTAAAAAATTTACTCACAGTTGATTTCTTCTTTCAGTAAAAGTATTACTCACACATCCATCTATTAGTAAATGATTTACTCTCAGTTTATTTCTTCTTTCATCTTTCAGTAAATGTGTTACTCTTGGGTAGTTCTCAACCCTTATCTCACACCTGATTTTTCTTCCCACGTCATTTTCTCAGTAAATATTTTACTCTCAGTTGTTTCACTGTGTTAGTATAAATGGATTACTCACAGGTAGTTCTCACTCCTTATCTTAGTAAATTTATTACTTAGTAAATAGATTCTCATCCCTTATCACAGGTAGTTCTTAGCCCTTCTGTTAGATTACTCCTTACATTAAAATTTTGCTCCAATGTTCTATCACTAAATAAACTACACTCAAGTTAGAAGTAAAAACTTTTGATATAGCAACATATATTAGTCCAGTCTTCTCTCAGTAAATAAATTACTTTGTGCTTTTCTTCATCCACCTTCCTTGAGTAAATAAATTACTCTTAGACTGCAGGAGCAAAACATTTATGCACATCCGACAAATGTTTGAACGGATTTAGAATTACAACGGCTGTCTGATCACACACGCAATGTGATACATTTGTAGAATGCACAAAAACAAATAAAAAATTACAACACCACCAACAATGATGGATATGGCCGGCACCAGACTCAGTCACCTCCTTGCCGACGCTGCTGCTAGTCCTGTGCCATGCCGCATAATAATCTTTATGGCCCTGCTCGTGTGTCCTTACCAGTGTCTCCAATAGGTGGTTTCAACGAGAAGTCTCGATTTACATTCAGTATGACTCTAAATGACACAGATTAGAAGCCAATAAAATAGAAAGTGCCTAGCATGTAGAGATCACTGTTAGTCACTTTCAGGACATCAAAAAATTAGCACATTTTAATAAAAATCCTCTTCTTGATGTACCCCTTGAAGCTGTCAATTGGAGCAGCAGGATTGGCTCATCAACATGCCATCAACCCGTGCCTCAACTACAGTATCCCACACTGCACCTATTGAAAATATACAAACTTGAAAATAACAGGATTATTCCAGATATCAAGTCCAAGATCCATCAAGATTTAGCATAACAGTGGTCTATACATGAAGAATATAATGAGGCACAGCTGAATGCAAAGCAATGTGAATTTGGAATATTATAGGCATTGTTTCAGTCTTTCACCTTGATTTTTTTCCCCACTCATTAAAGATATATGACAGTAACACCACATATGCAAGAACTAAGTTATTTTTGTTAGTATAAAAAATTATGAAACAGTTTATTGTTTCACATACCTCAGGAACACATATATGTTACTGCGAAGTGGAGCACACCATGACCCGATCGAAGCACTGTTGGGCAAATACGTAGATACAAGAAGAATAGCAATAAGAGCCTCAACATTATATAAAGTATTAAGAAATGAAAGAAAATTAAGAATGGAAACGTCCTTGTAATTAGTATGTAGTACATCGAAAAAGATCACAAACCTGTATATTCATATCTCAAAATCAAAATCATATGGCTAACTGATTCAGTGAAGGATAAAAGGAAATTCATTTGTGCTGCTCTACTGAACCAGGGAATTTCAGAAAAATTGTTACCCGATCAACAATGCTCAAATGAACTACAAAATTTCAGAAACTAGTACCATATCTGCTAATCGCGTGGCTGACTGAACTAGTGATTCTGTTGAACTAATTCAAAATTGCAGAAAACTGCTGGCTAATCAACTGATAGCTCTGCTACATTGAAAATTTTCAGAAACTGCAAGCTTATCGACAATATTGTCAGACGTAACCAGCTAGCATTAGGCAGCAGAAACAGATTAGCATCACAAAATTGTTGCGTTTGTCAGAAACTTAACGATAATCCAAGCATACCATCTGAACTTCGCTGCCTTGTGCAAGCTGCTTTGGCTGATGATGAGGATGCCTCAATCAAATGAGGAGGCCGGCATGGCGTCATCGGCTGGGGAGAAGATGGGCCTTCGGATCCAGAAGGCAGGCAGCCCTCTCTCTTGGACATCAGCCTCCACAATCCTCTTTCTCCCCGGCCACCGTGTGGGGCTGTGACGAGCCGACAACTGGGTGAGGGGCTACAGCTGCTCGTCGCCGCCCTCCTTTCCAGACAGGATCTGAGTAAATGAGAACACGAGTTTGCAGGAGATGGGAAAGCATCGCCACTACTTGCCGTCAGAGCGTTTGCGCCGCAGCTCCTCCGGCACGGCGGCCGCCTCCATCCCCATCCCCCGCGGCATCACACCCTGCCGCCGGCGCCGCCGCAGCGGACGCGCGGACGGAGAATGAGACGCGCCCCCGTTTGGGGTTCCGGCCGGGGCCACGCCGGAAAAGAAGAGGACCAAGAAGAACAAGAAGAGGAAAGATACCCTCGAGGCGTCGCTCGTTGTTGTCCGCCCACCTCCCCTCGGCTCCGACCTCCGGCGGCTGCGGCGGCGACTCCTTTCCACCCGTCGCTGGCCGATTTCGCCGTTCTCCCGCTGCCTGCCGCTGGAGGACGCCGATGCCGCTCCCTTGGCCGCCCGTTCCCAGATCCTAAAAATTCGGGGTATAACCGTACAAAGCAGGTGTAAAGAAAATGGCTAATATGTGCGGGAAGTAACAACATTACTATAGGGTAAATGCATATTCATACATTAATCATTTTACTATCAGTACTACAAGAAATATGTGGGGGAGCGGGGTGGGGGTGGGTTGTGTTTTAATACAACGCACCCCATCTATAGTGTATATATATATATATATCTCTCTCCAGATTTATCCTCATGATTTATTTTTTTTGGACAGAAAGTGCAACCCATACTGGCGATTGTTGAAACGTGACTGATTGGTACAATCAAAGGCTGTACTCCACAGCTACTTTGCTCACAATCAACAAAGCCATCTCTTCTCTTACCTACAAAAGTGAGACAGGGTCCTTCCTCAAAGCAAGAAATATATATATTCGTACACACAAGTAGCTAGCTAAGAATTACTACTACCTTCGTCTCAAAACATATGCAGGTTTGGGGGTTGAGAAGAAAAGATTTTACTGCTCCTCAATAAATGAGGAATTGATGTGTGTCGAAGGTTAACTGTGGGTTTGATCGGAAAAAGAAAATTGAATGAGAAGGGATAAATAGTACTATAGTGCTAGAAATTTTTATATTATTGTGGACAAAATTTAAGTGCTAGAAGTTCTTACTCCCTCCGTACTCGTAAAGGAAGTCGTTTAGGACAATGTTTAAGTCAAACCTTAGGAATATAAATTATGAATAACTCTCAAGTTGTTGAGTTTAAAAATATAAAAAATATATGAATATATTTGTCTTGAAAAATACTTTCATAAAAGTATACATATATCACTTTTCGATGAATATTTTTTATAGAAATAAGAAGTCAAAGTTGTGTTTTGGAGACCGTGTCGCTGTCCTAAACGACTTCCTTTACGAGTATGAAGGTAGTATATTTTAAAACGGATGAAGTAGAAATTTGCCACATCTCTCTCTCTATCTGAATTGCACCAATATATATCCAATTCAGTAAATGCAAAACCACCTGGGTTCAAATGCAGTAGTACTGCATGCATGCACATACATATGGTAACATGGATATAGCATCTGTTGCACGAAGTGGCAGGCAGGGACATTGGAGAAATTTTGGAGGGAAATGCTTTACATTTGCTAGTACCAGCTTGCCAAGATTCGGATTTGCTAAGGTCATACTCCTATATAGTATTCACTGCAATTTAAGCAGCAGTAGCACTGCTAAACGTTGGATTCGAACAGAGATCAAAGGTCTAGATTAGTGCAACACGAACTGTTCATGCTGTCGTAGTATGACTCAGTGGGGGCAATATGGAAATACTACATCCGTTCCAAAATATAGCTACTTTTGACTATAAATCTGGACACACAGTTGCCTAGATTTATAACTAAAATTGCTTATTTTTTGTGACGGAGGAAGTATATCTTAGTGCTACGAATCTATACTGAATCAGAACAGACTCATAGCACTAGTTATATCACATACTCCCTCCGTTTCACAATGTAAGTCATTCTAGTATTTCCTACCTTTATATTGATGTTAATGTATCTAGACATATATATTTATATAGATTCATTAACATGAATATGAATATGAAAAATGCTAGAATGACTTACATTGTGAAACGGAGGAAGTATAGTGTAATAATACGTTGTTATATTTTAAGACGAGGGAGCTAGTTGAACAAAACGCCGTCCATTATGTAGCCGTGAATCTGGGTCGTTGATCGGTAGAATGGACGTCCGAGAGACTGCGTGCAGCCAAGGCTTAAATTAAAGCTGCTGATATGAACTGCTTATATTAGCTTAGCTAGCATGCATAGCAGGGGAATGAATGAATGGTCATGCATGTGTTTTGCATTTGCATATGTCGAAAAGGCTCAGCAGTTGTCTGCCGTGTCAGTACCACTAGCTATAAGGATCGAAAAACTACACACTTGACAGGTACTGGTCAATGGTCATGTGATGCTAATAGCAGGGTGAGTTTAGATCCCCGGATAAAATTTTTCACCATGTCACATCGAATGTTTGGATATATATACATGGTGTATTAAATATAAATGAGAAAATAACTAATTACACAGATTGCGTGTAAATTATGAGACGAATCTTTTAAGCCTTATTGCGCCATGATTTGATAATGTGTAGCTACAGTAAACATTTACTAATGATGGATTAATTAAGCTTAATAAATTCGTCTCATAGTTTACAGGCGGAATCTGTAATTTGTTTTGTTATTAGTCTACGTTTAATACTTTAAATGTGTGTCCGTATATCCGATGTGACACGCCAAAATTTTACACCATGGATGTAAACACCCCTAAGCTCTTTTCTTTTTCTTGAAGCAATTACAATTACTACTCCTGCTAGCAACACCTGATCTTTACCTCAACTAGAGTTGAGTTTGATAACCATGCATGATTAGTTTGGATGCGGGTCTGCAGTACTACTCACTGACATGTGGGCCCCACAGTCCCTCTGGCCCACATGCCAGTAGGCAGTACTGCGGATCTCAATTGGATTAGTTTAGCTAGCCTAGACACATGCAAAATCCTAATCAAAGAGCATCGATATGATTAATTACTTGGACATTTTTACTCATGAATGATAGATGAGTAGAGGGCAGTGGATCGATCCCATGCATGATCAAACAGAGACGATCGAGGAAGGTGTAGCATAGTACTGATTTTTCACGAATGCGCAAAAAGATTATACATCAATATATTACTCCCTACGTCCCATAATATAAGGGATTTTGAGTTTTTGCTTGTAATGTTTGACCATTCGTCTTATTCAAAAAATTTTGAAATTATTATTTATTTTATTTGTGACTTACTTTATTATCTACAGTACTTTAAGCACAACTTTTCGTTTTTTATATTTGCAAAAAAAATTTGAATAGGGAGTACTGCTAAATAAACGCTGCACCAATAGAGAGGGAAAGCATAGTAGTGATTGAGTCATTTGTTCTGTTCCACTATCATCACCACAGTTGGATTCTCCAGTTCTGAAATCTTGACGGTGAACCCTCCCCAGAACCCCATTTTCCAGCACCAACACACAATGAGAGTGAAATAATATAATCAGCATGCAGGTGACGCACAGAAAATATATATGGGTAAGTTAAAAGGACAGATACATGTGTAATGCATACATAAAATTGGAGTAAGAATGAGAAACTGATACAAAATTGTGAGGATAGGAAAAAGAATATACTAGTACATACGTTTCACACTACACCACGACGAAATTACAAATAGTTAAGAACATGTACACAATATCCCCTTTTAGAAATAGATCTTCTGGGCTAGCTACAAGCAACTGTTTCTCTTGTTTTTTTCTATTCAACAAGAATTTCAACCCTACGGCCTTCTACTTTTAATTGCTCCACAGCTTAAATTCGGTCACAGGACCCTTTTGGCATAATTGAAACTTGTGGACAAATCAGCTAGCTTCTGGGAAGGTAATAAAAAGCGGTGCTCTGCTTGAAGAAGTCATATTTTGCACAAACTTCCTTCAAGTCTGGTATTCAGGCATTCAGCTTGTGCAATCTTTAGTTGTACCCAATCTGAATGGGTTGATAAGCTTGGGGTTCCTTGCTTAATTGGATCTTGGTTGCATTCCCATTAAAAATACTTTCCGTTTGCTGCCAATCAAGGAGCTCGCTTGCCGGCATCTCCTTGTGCAGGACACCACAAGATGGCAGGAAAGATACGGGAGCGTGTTGACAAGATGGGCATATCATTCTACTCATTGTTCAGTTCCTGCGTCATCACCACCTCACTAGTCACCAGTAAGTGAAATCAGCAGGATAATACTGATAATACATACATACACAAAATGGGGGTAAAAGGGACACACATGTAATACATACACAAATTGGGGGCAAAAAATGAGAAACAGATACAAAATTGTACATGTGCCGCATGCCAAAAAAAAAGGAAAAAAAAAACAGAACCTCACTGTGCTTTCATGGCTTTCTCCTTGCACAGCTGATGCCACTCCTGCAGAACGGCCGCCTGGAGGGCACGGTGCTCAGCTTCCTCCGCCGTGAGCTTTGAAAGCGTCGAGGGGCCCTTGGGGTTCCCGAATTCATCCAGGTCCTCGTTTTGCTTCTTCTCCTCTTCCTCTTCTTCCTTTGTTTTCGCAGGCGGCACCTTCGGTTTGGCTGCCTTGAGCAGGGCTATTCTCTCCATGGAGATCTTCAGCCGCTCAGCGGCCGCGCTCTTCACCTCATCCTCGGGCATGTATTCCACGGCGCCATCGGTGATATCGTCCATCCAGCCCTGGAGGTCTGATTCGATCTCTCTTGTGATCGATTCATCGGATGCACGCACTACGAATTTGCAGATCATTGTGGTTGTTTCGTCGCCCAGATCAACGTTCCGGCTGACCTCGCTTGCACCAAAGATCATCATGCCCACAAATCCACCAAACCAAGTCTTCGCAGCGTAGCATAACTGTAGAAGATTCATTTGTTATAGTCCAATAGCCATGGTAATTCTGTAAGGAAAGATTCAAGGCAACAGTGTAACAGATTATCCAATGCTTACCTGGAACCCAGCTACTGTTCTGATGAAATGAGAGCAAACTTGATGGAAAGGCTTTGAAGAAATCGACTTCAACCCACTGAGGAAAGGAGAGCTATCATACTGCTGAGCAGCAGTGGCCTTGAAACCACTGCCTTCATATGTGTATGTGCCAGTGCACTCCACCATGGCTGGCAAACTTGGCCATAACCGGAAATACTCAACTGGAGAGCATTCATATGGCAAGAGAAGTTCAGCAAGAGGGATCTTGTATGGCTGGCAGCGCAAAACAACTGGCTCCCCAAGCTCTGCCCGAAATGCGCGCTTTTGCCTCGTCATTTGTGAGCTCTCTTCATAATCTCCTTCATAATCAGTAGATCCTACACTTCCATCAAATGGGTAGTACAAGACTTGAACCCAGAGGGAGCATCTCTCAAAATGTGAAACTCCGACAGTTACACTACTTTGGACTGGATCCTGCAGAATTAAAAAGGCATTTTTACACATAAAATAGATTAAATTTTGAATTAGTTGATCTATAATCCAATGTTAAAATTATTCTACCA